ACATGTTACAATAGGTAGCTAGGTAATAGGTAGGTATTTGCCAATATAGTGCTTGCGTGGGATGTATTTAATAAAGCCATGGATTGGCGATAACTCCCTATGTAAATATTTCATTTGCATGGATATTATTACTGTACAGCAAATATGCGAAAAACAAACATTATTTACGATACCAATATAAATAAGTACGTCATGTTTTTGTAATGATTTTGGAGACATTATTATTATACGATATAAAAATTACATTATGTAGGTATTTCATAATTCACATTGTGAAATCGAGTCCTTTATAGTTAGTATATTTAAGTCAATTATTGTTAAAGTTGCTTTCATGTTGGTAGGTACGTGAACAATCTTGTCTAAGGCGCACTCGATGCAGATAAGGAATTCTGAGATTATCTACTGGGCATGTTTATATAATTAATGCTTGCTATCAATACCCAATAGAAATTACAATGTAATATTATAAAATTATACCTTTTGTTCATAAATTGATACGTATTTAGATTTAGATAGCTAATGTGACAGACGATAAATATCCATAGTTTATATTCAAGTGAATTTGAAAGGAAATAATCAATTTATTTAATTGCTTTGGCACTGTTAACGCCTCCACGTAGCCTTCGCTCAGATTTAAGTATGACGTAGTCGTGTCGACTGTTGGCCATTGAGAAACAAGTTGCACTCCTTTTGGAAATGACTGCATTAGAGCTTATTTTATCTCGTTTTACATAACGCACCTGTCTATATTTGTATATTGATAGTTAGCTATATAATAATAAAACCCTTTAATACCCTTAGGGTGAAATACGTACGAAAAAAATACAATGGATTATGGAAAATATTCTTTTTATAATAATTTTTACTTAAAGAGAACAATTTATCTAAAACATGTCTAAAAGTATGTAGTTTACATTTAAAATCTAAATTAATTCATAATTGCCACAGATACGGAAAATGTACGGCTTACTATAACAGAAGTATGTATTCGTATCTGAAATGGCTGTTGAGGAAGTAAAGGCACTAGTGGGTAATATAGAAATCGCTATCGGGTGCAATAAACGCTAAATGCAGTGCAATTATTAACCTTTATATCAAAGGCTCTATCATGAAAATGGCATCTATTTCGTTTAGTGATTGATATTATAAATAAGCGGAGGCGGGAGGGCACGCGAGGGCGGCGTGGGTTACCGGAAGGAAACCTTAACTTTCGACCTGCTTTAGCTAATGACATTTTGGCATTTGATACTTAAGAATTTGTGACATTCAACGTTATCTTTATTTAACTCTAGTGTAGGAAGATACTACAGAATGGAAAAATACGATCTTTATCTGTGGTAGTATTGCACGCCTTATTACTTATTACCTACCTACTCTCTTGTATTTATTTATTTATTGAACTACCAACAAAAGTTACAATATTATAATACCTAGGTTACATATAATTTACCATGATAATTGCACTTTTAATTATAGGTAGTTACAACTTGCTGCTTTTACAAGCTATCACATTAGTAATAATTAATAGTATACAATAATTCCAATTTAATTTTTTAAATAATTAATTCATTACAATTAAAAATTAAAAAATATATAATTTTATAACAAAAATAATTAATAATAATAAATAAATATATTTAAAAAAATTATTGTTTAAAATTTGCTATTTTTTATTATAAGTAAAATGATTTTGAGTTGACTTTAAGTTTATCATACATCAGTGCCTGTTACGCATAAAATAATGAGAGCCAAATATTCTAAATAAATATTTACTAAAAAAATCTGTAGCAGTAAGAAGAACATTAAATAATCATTTATCTGTAATTCTTTGCTGCCAGGAAGTATTTTCTAGTTATGATTAAATATTTAAGTTGTTTTCATGTGCTAACAGTTGCGTTCAAAGTATTTCCGGTGACAGTCAGCACAGCACACGCCAAACCGGTCTTGGAAGAAACTGCGCACACTTTGATATATAATAAGGCTCGTTGTTATTATCTCTATTTTAAGAATTTTCCACTCTTTATGATTATTTTTTTTTTTTGATTATATGAAATCTGGCATGGTCTTTAATTTATTTATGAGCTAAACATTGTGAAGTAATATTTCATATATTTTTAATGTTTGCCTGTCTTTGATTTTTTCGTGGTTAGTTAGATTAACACAAATCAACCAATTATTAGCGTTTTTTAAGTTTAAGTATTCATAAGACTTTGAAATCTTTTGTGTACGTATGGAACAAGAACTCTTGATTAATTTACGATAGACCAACTTCCTGTGATAAAATAATTCAAGTTCGTAAAACGACTCGACCAGTGGAATTTAGACACACCTTTTTTAATATTAATGAAATTCCACGTGAAAGACTTTTGTTGTAGACATTATTATATTCTATAGTTATTATTTATGTTGTTTACGAGTATTTGATTAATAATGAATATTATTAATTATATAATATACGATAATGATAATATTTTAAACAAATACACTTTAACAAATTACATGTTGTAGTTAATAATCATAGGTATAGATACTTAGTAATTTATTCATGTAATAAATAATTTTAAATATATCTTTCGTATAAAGAACAATGAATCAGATACAGACATATAAAATTGCAGTGTCTGTTTGTAACATCAAAATAACAGCTCTTTTTTATAAGAAAAACACAGTTTTTAATATTTTTGTCTGTATGCTGGACTTATTTTGACAGAAATTTCATTGGAAGATAGCTGATACTATAAGGAGTAACTAAGGCTAGTTTTATTTAAAAAAAATTAGAGTTCCCCTAAAAAAATAAAAACGTACCTAGGGACGGACCCGAGCGAAGCGTGGGTAAGCCGTTAGTCTGTAATAAATAATGTTTAACATATTTTTCTTCCGTATAAAAAACAATGAATCAGTTGTTGTTGAAATAAATTAGGTATATTGTATAAATAGTCTGAGCATAAGAAGTGGAGTGAAGTTATCAGTATGCGGTTAACCAAAATTAATCACCTATGAGACAATTATTTTTTCTAAGAATATAATGCTTCATTATTCGGAATTATTCATATTTGGTTTAAAACTCGACTGTGGATAATATTAATTACTTATTAAATTTACTTAATATTTCAAACTTTGTATAGTGATCTATCTATGTACCTATATGTAGCTTTCTTACTATTTACTCTTTAGGTATACATACATATTATATTATGTACATGTGTATGTAGTATAATATGGAAAATATAAAAGTTCTTCTTTTATGCAACATTATCTATTGAAGTATTTTTTCATAGAAATATATTCTATTGTCCGGAAAATGATATATTTTTTAAAACTGCTCATTATATCAGGATAAAAATATATTCCCTTGTGATATTAGTCTATTATATTCGCCTTTACGTAAAGGGAGTTAACTATATATAAAGATGAATATAAATATATTATATGACTTTGTTGGTAACATATTATGCGTTATCAAATCATTCGTCCCATTGCTATTAAACTTTGGTCAGTTGTTGTATATAAGCCCAAGAAGGTTTCTTGTATAGTTTCATGAACGTACACGACAGGGGCGTAAAAGTTTCACCGATGTGAATGTAGAGCGAGTTATTAATAGCGAGTGCGCAGCTAATTTGTCTAAAAATGAAAATGTCTAAAATCTCGTCTTTATATATTCAAATGTACCTAAATAACACAATTTTAACTATAAATAAGTAGAAAATAACTAGGTATGTATAAAAATTTTGCTATATATTAGCATTATTGTTTAAATAATTATTCATGAACAATCACATAGCATTTTTTAAATTTTAAGAGTATTATAAATACATACTACGAGTAGTTCCGGGTTTACAGAATAATACTGCTACCGGGGTCAGTATTAAGGCTTAACGGGTTCCAATATGATATAGCATCCAGTTTCTTCTGTAACATACACGTTACAGTATGATGACTATAGCCTATACCAATAAGTATACTTAATACTCCATAATAAAAACCTATACACGACTTATTTTAAAAAGTTTTTATGCTTCCAATTTTTCATTGTCACAATAAAATGACAAAGACCACCCAAAAGGAGGAAAATTTTAAAAGATTGTTCTTTACGAAACTTGCTTTATTTTCGTAATCCATTGTCAGAATTAGGATTGCAGTACGCGCCAAATTTGGTATGGCCATGTAATTGTTGATGAATAAGTCAGTACAATAATTAAATATCTTGCTGCTTACGTGTTACAAAATAAGATATCCTTTCAATAACTGAGGTAACCTATATTAATAGTTTTCAATAATTTGTTATCATTAACAAGTGCCCTTAAGAAATTTGTACGAATAACTAAAAGTGAGTATTACGAGCATTAATAAATATGTCGAGTCGGTAAATCTCAGGTCAAATGTCACTCGGCTTATTAGTAAAGGGCTATAACCAGTAGTTAGTGTGAGATGGAAGAATAATTTGTTTATATAAATTAAACGTATTGCGTGGGCAGGAGGTGAGAGGGAAGTGTCGCGTGCGCAGCCTACGCGCTCGTGCAGTCTTTATTTTTCTACTTAGTTTGACTGCCTTGTCGAAATTAAGCACTGGCGCCAGTCTTGCGCTTATCTATTTGTTATTAATTAAAGGTCTCTGGTAGGATTTATAATTCCTTTCTGTTTTGAAATTTACTTGAAAATTTATATTACACTTAGTAAGTAGATCTAGTAATTGCGTGGTAGAGCTTACATTTAATTTCTTAAAAAACATTCAAAAAATTACAAAATTATAATGCATATTTAGGTACTTATCGATTCCTCCGATAAAATACTATCAAATGATAAAAAGTAAGATTTTAAAAGAACTAAAGATCCTTTACGTGAATACTTTTAATGTAGAATTTATCAAATAAAAGTGTTTCCATAAAATATGTGGGATATAATAAATCCACTTAAGTAATAAATACTAGTACATGAACATTTTTAAAGGATATGTGAATATATAATTTATTTGAATAAATGGTATATGGTAGCGCCATCTAGTATTGCACTCGAAACTGTGTGCCAGCGATGGGTCCACACAGGTTCTTGCCTCGAAGCCAGCCACCTAGGTGGAAGCGGCTGCGAGAGGAAGGCACGTTAGGTAAAAAGTTATTGCCATCAACTTGTTCGTACAATAAGTTCATGTAACGGTGCGCGCCTGTGCCGCGAGGTGGCGCTGGTGGTTTGTAACCTAAAAGAAAAAAGGTTCACATATCACAATACAAATATTAACTGTTATACAGTCAGCCTATATTCTGTTAACGCCGTATATATAATAATTATTATTAATGATGACGAATGACGATTATGTTCTTCCGAACCTCACCTCACTGAAAATCAGAGAGACTAGCCAACTGCGAAGGAGATATTATAGTGCAGCGCGTGTACGCGCAGGCGCTACTAGTGCACTATCTTTTCTTTTCACTCTCAAATTCCGACGATAATTCGGCACGACCGCTGAGAGATCAGGCGTTAGACCGACGGCTTTACATGCTCTACCTCGGCACTGGGGTGAAACACATCCAATTTCCCAACTCCGGTCTGTTACAGGGACTTTCTTAACAGAATCAATTACTAAAGTAGGCCCGACCTGGAACTCGAACCCAGGACCTCCGGATGTGCAGCCGTACATGCTAGCTACTGCACCACTAATATGACTTAAGCACTAAATTTATACATATAATAAAACTGTAGAGGTCGAACGTCTGTACATAGAAAAAAAATACTAAAAACCGAGTCAAGGGGATGTACGAAGACAAATAGAACAAATCCAGATTTTTTCAATTTTTTTGTTTCTCTGTCTGTTTGTCTGTTTATCTGTTTATCTGTTTGTACGGGCTAATCTCTAACTCTATTGGACCGATTTAGATGTAATTTTGCATGGTTATACCTTATATCCCCGGGCAACATCTTAGATACTTTTCACCCCGGAAGATTAAAGAGTTCCCGTGGGATAGTTAAAAAACTATAATAACTTATACAGCTTAATACACGAAAACTACTTATTGGATTTTAATGAAACTTTACAATAATATCCATACTAATATTATAAATGTGAAAGTGTGTTTGTTCGAAACGGCTTGGCGGATTGACGTATTGTTTTGTGTGGAGATAGTTGGCGGGCTGAAACTCTCCAGTGTGTCACTCGACAAAGGCTACTTTTTACCCTGGGAAATTATCTCTTTCCCACGGGAAAAGACGTTATAATACAACCCAAAAAATATTTATGATCAGAATTACTTGAAACTTTGTATTATTGCTCTTTAATGAAATTTTTAGGATTTTTCGAAATTCGTCCTATAAGGAGGAAAAATTGGGGTTGAAAGTTTGAATGGAAGTATCTTTTTAGAGATTTTTTGTAGTTTTAGCGCGAGCGTAGCCGCGGGTTCTGCTAGTTTATAATAATTCTACTACTAATTTGGAATTTATTACCAAGAATCAAGATATGTAAAAAAAACCAAGTATCATACTGAATAATAGGTACCTACATATGTTCATTATATACTTATGCGACGGATTAAGAGAATATTTAAAAATATACACGAGCTAAGCGTATACTTATTATAACTAAACTAAAAAGGTAGGTACTAAACTAAAAAGCTAAATATTTTACCTCTATAATCTATACCAACAGTTTTGCTGGCTTCTTTGGATTTTAGCGCTAGACCCTGAAAATTAGAAAATTACATTCTTAAAATGTATAGAATTTATTGTTTATGATATATATATATATATATAGGTTATAGTATTAAAATGTATCTACACTTACGGGAATATTAGACTTTATCATGTGTAAATAAAATTCACCTTCAGCTTGCGGCGCGGCATCCGGATCTACTATGATTATAGAGTAAAATTTTTTCTAAAACAATTTTATTCATTGGGTTAATCAGGTAAAATTAAGGAACAGACTATATAATGTATATAGGGCGCAAGAGTCAGGCTTGTCTTGGAGAATCGTTTAAGCTGCTGTTCAGCGTGACCTCCAAGTCCTATAGAGTTAGCGGACCTGATCAATGTTAAACAACGTCGTAGGTTTATCCCGAGGCGAGTAAAAATAACCACTCTGTTTTTCTGTCAAGAAATTCTCAGTAGTTACGGATATAGAGTTAGAAGTTGGAAAGTTGAGAAGTCGGTGTTTCCCCACCGTGTCTTGTAGATCATGTAAAGATGTCAGTTCTGGGTCATCATCCGACATTACTAGTGCAAGAGCATCAGTGAAGATAGATATTCGTCCCATCAGACTATGAGAGCCCTGTGATTGAAATTTGGTCGCAGGACATTAAAAAATGTGGTAAAAGATTACTTACTGAATCTGCTAATGAATACTGAAAAAGCGGCTCTTCCATAAATACTTGTTTAGGAAGTAGCACGTCACAGTTATGGTCGTTTACTATAGTGCCCCCAACACTCGTAATGTTTAAGCCTATTAATCGCTCGCAGCCCTCTAAAATGCTTTTTACATCTAATAATGAACATTGTGGTGATATACAGGAGACAGAATACAAAATAAATGGTAAAATTAAAATCTTAATCATCAATGCTTTCATATTTGATACAAACTAAAACCAAACTCTGTATCGAATTACTTTTATTAGTAAATAGTTCGCTGTTGCTACTTGTTTCATGCTACATACACACCTAAAACGAAAACAAAATTTGTTCAATAAACATGTATTGTATTCAAATGAAACCTTTTTACGTAATTACGTTAGCCATGTAATTTGATCCTGCGCTGAATTTTTTTTAGATATTAGGTTCTTTATGTAACATTTCAGACTTTTGATGGCTAGCGCACAATCCATTTGGTCTAAAAGTAAGTATAGTGCCATTACAGTTTTAGACGTAGGTATTTTTGAATATGTAATTTATTTATTAACTAGCAACTCATTCGCCTCTAGATAGACAAAAACAAATCTATCCCACGGGAACCGTACATTTTGTCCTGGATAAAAAGAAGCCTATTTGTTATTCTGATGTATGAACTATATTATTGTAAAATTTCATTAAAATCCAATCAGTACTTTTTGTGTACTAAGCTGTATAAGTTACTATAGTTTTTTAACTATCCCACGGGAACTCTTTACTTTTCCAGGATGAAAAGTATCTAAGATGTTGACCGGGGATATAAGGTACCACCATTTATTTAAATCGGTCTAATAGTTTTGGAAATTAGGCCGTACAAACAGACAAACAGAGAAACAAAAAAAAAATGAAAAATCCGCATTTTTTCTATTTCCCTTCTTACATCCACTTGACTCGGTTTTGAAACAAATATTTTAACGTATAGATTTTTGGTAAACATAGATAGAATATCTATAATTTGTACAGAATCAAGAATCTTGAAATTACATATTGATATTTTCGCTACCAATAAATAATAACTTATTATTTATTCGTAGTTTTTTAGATAAAATTGCGTACATGATCATAAACTGTCACCAGTTATGAAAGTGTAAAATAATCACAATCAATATTTGACATTGGCAGAAATTCGTCTAGATTTTTTATTTCAAGTATCGAGTAATTATTATTTCATATGGCCCATAATGAAAAAAGGATTTTACAAAAAATTGGTATATTTCAATTAAATGGGAAGCAAATGTTATTAGAAACATCGAAACGTGTAAAATGTGCTCGCCTTTGGTGTAGAAGCCATTGGTCATTATTATGTAATCCTAAACTTCAATGCAAGACCAAATTTCTAATGTACAAATTATTTGTAAGACCAATACTTATTTATGGATGCGAGGTGTGGAATCTAAACAAACGCTGTTGTAAGAAGTTATTGCGTTTTGAATACTCTATTCTTTTAGAAATATTTAAATCAATGTATCCACGAAAACACCCAGAAAGATTGCGTCCAACCTTTGAGTCAGTTTACTATCGTTTTCGAGACTCAAATATTATAGAATATGTCAAAAAGCAACGATTAACATGGAGTTATTTATTACAATGTGAAAAACGTGCTGTGAGACATCGAAATTTAAGGATTCAATGGTGGGATCAAACTTCATAAATCTTTAAAGTCATTGCTAAAGACGTGGCCTTATAATTTTAATTACCTACTATATATTTTATTGGTTTTGTGACATTATTCCAATTAAATATAATTTGATATACTTACATATATTATAAAAAATATATTAATTTTAAAACATAATATTCGATATTAAACCATCATGTATCATTTTTTATCGCCATTTAATTCTGTTAAAGTAAATATGTGTCTCTACGTTTCTTGTACATGACTGAAGCATTTTTCGAATAATATTTGGATTAAAGCCTGAAACTCTTTTACATTTAATTTGAAGAATTGCACAGTATGCTGTTACTTCAACATCTGTATATTTTTTATATAAATGTTTTTTACATGAGTTATTAAATATTTGCTTTAAGGCATAACATTCAAGATATTTTATTTGGCTCCAGTTATTTTCGAACCAATTGTATATAAGTAAAGGTCTTAGAAGCAATTTATATATCAAAATTTTTGTTGAAGAAGACAATTTTGGTCGTTTTAACAATCTTATACACATTTTTTGCCAATACTGACATAATTTTTTTAAAGACATGTTCGATATTGATTAATCATAGTCCAATCACAGACCTTTAATGTTTATTAAAAACACAATATATAAATATGAAGGTACGACAAACGTATCTTTTTCCGTATTGTATCAAATACCTTCTGCCAGTGAGGAAGACACGACTTCCCAGTATATTACTATACTCTTTGGACACGACTGACGACAAAAATATTAAACAAAGCATGTAGTCAAATATTACAACAGATTAAGAATATCAACAATACATAGGTATCGCAAAAAAATGTGCGTGCGATTTGAGGAAAAAATTAATAGATAAGCCCAACTTAATGTTTTTTAAATATTTTGGGACATTAACACACAGCACCATCCAGTTCTATGTAAGTTACGAGGCTTGTGTTATAGATACTAGACAGTTACACTACACATATGATGATGATGATGTTGATGTTCTCCTAGCCGATTCCGGCTACGGCGGCCAATCTCATTGAGACTAGCCAACTGCGCAGGAGATATTATAGTGCACAAGTGTACGCGCAGACACAAGTGCACTCCTATTCCTGTCACTCTCATACTCCAGTGGGACGACTGCTCGACACGACCAGTGAGAGTTAAGGCGCAGGACCGACGGCTTTACGTGCTCTCCGAGGCACGGGAGTGAAACACCGCCAACTTCCCAACTCCGGGCTGTTACTGAGACTTACTATACAGAAAGACTCAATAACTAAACTTGGCCCGACCCGGGACTCGAACCCAGGACCTCCGAGTGTGCAGCCGTTCATGCTAGCCACTACACCACCGAGGCAGTTAATTCACATATATAATTTTATAATACATACATGCTATAAAATGTATAAACACCCATGACTGGAGTACAACCATTCGTCTCATCACACAAATGAATGGCCCCAGCAGGACTCGAATCCACGACCGCTGGCAAGCTGCATTTTTTTTACAAACAGAGAGTTGTAATTCGTTAAAGGTTTCGTATACGTGTAAATAAACTATGGTTTTTGTTCAATGGATAAGATTTTTTGAGGCCTATTTTATGTCGTTCACTTCATTCGCGGAATTATAATACACCCCAGAGATAGAGATAGAATTTTTGAGCTATCTGGAGTACCCAAAGTAACGTAACTTCAATTTATTGTGTATACAATAGACATAAAATCGTTAAGTAATTACTTATATAATATAATGGTTCAACTTTAATTTTATAAATAATGTGTAAACTGTAAACCGTGTGCTTTATTATGAAGTCTGTTATTTAAGGTTAAAATGAAATATATCATATTATGAGGAAATTTTATCGGGAGCGGATGAATAAAATAGAAATTGTTAGATGATGATGATCAAACTCACGTGTGTGTTTGTTTGTCCATGTTATTTATTATTTTATGATTTAGTCTGTTGTCATAGCGTTTTTTTATATTTCTTCTTAGTCTGTGTCATGGATGACAAATAAACGTCTGTGGTTTTAAATTTTAATCTGTACCCGGCCGTGACTGTCAATCATGGATGACAAATATGAAATAAACTGTCAAGTGTAGTGTCAAATGTCAATTGAATTTCTAGCGTAAACAAAGAATTTACGCACAAAAATTGAATACCTATATTTAGTTATAAAAAAGATAAATGTCTACTGAACTAAAATCAACAAATTAAGTTCAACATAATTAAATTGTTATCTTACAATTTTTATATTCTATACATTTTACCAACTATGGAATCTCATCCACTAAATTTAGTAAGTTTAACAAAATATGTTATAATTTTATGACACTACTTTAAGGATATGATTTAATTTAGGATGACTTACATTGTTTTAGGCTCATCAACAGCACAGACGGGCTGAGACCCATTTAAAAAATAATCGATATGATGAAGCCATACAATGTCATCACAATGCCGCGGAATTACTCTTAGATGCTATGAAATCTACAACCTCATCAGTAGCTTTAGAATCAATTACTTTACAGCATAGCTATCATCTTAAACAGAAAGATTTAATTAAAAACAAAAAAGAACAATATACAAGAGTCAAGAAAGCTCTTGAAAATATAAAATGTTTAAGTAATGATCCCAAATACCTTCTTCAAGGAAATGATATAACTAAATTGCAAGTTGCTATATATAAAATTTTAAATGAATCCAACAATCTTTTAAACATTTTGTCTAATAAATCTGAGGTATCTGAAAGAGGAATAATAAAGGATATTGTTAATAGAGATGATGAAGTAGATGGACTGCAGATGAGAAAATCACAAAAGGATGTCACTGAAGAACTTCAAAATGTAAATCAAAATTTAAATTCAACACTGGAACAACTTTTGCTACAAGTTGAAGTATTGAAAGATGATAATATTACTTTAAAGGAGAGAATTAATTATCTGGAGAAAGAAAGAGTAAAATATCTCAATATCCAATCTCAAGATGAATCAATGGAGAGAAATGATTTTTCTGCATTAAGTTTGTTGAGTGATGGTTTTGTAAAAGAATTTAATTCAAAAGATCCAACATTAAATAAACCATTTAATTTAAATGCCTTTGAATAAAAAAATCATATACGATGTATATTGTTAAATTATATACATTGCTTGTACATAATACTGTTAATAAATAAATTAAATATATTAATGGCCTTTATCTCTGATCGCCACCAAAAAATATTCTTACTTTACATGATAATAATAGAGTTTGAACTTTCCCAAACCAAATTCAATCAATTAAAATAAAACTATCCTTACAATAAAAACTCATAAAATTTTATAAAACCCTTGTCAAATATAATCAAACATGACACTCAATTAATTGTCGATTTGTGCAAAATATTGTTAACACAATTTCAAAATTTCTTAAAGGACAACAATTCTAAAAAGAATAATTCACCCAAACACACACCTCATATTATGACCTAGTAGGGTCTGTTGATTTCAATGTTCTTGAATAATATATCAAAGAATATAATTATTTTAACTTTAATGTTTCGAATATTATATTATTATCTATTATATGTTAAAAATTTATATGCAAATGTGACAGAGGATAAAATGACATGTCCTATAATACTCAGACTAACCCTATAATATAAAGACACATTGGATCATTTTAACTCTGGCTATATTCTTTATTAGACAGCAAGTGCCCATAAGCTGTCGCTTATCTTTTTTTTTAAAACATGCACTACAATTTGTAAAATATATAGCTCATGCACGAAATCACGACAGATTTTGGTTATGGTGACACTTGAAATCACTTCTCCAATCTGTAGATTACCTTAAATGTTTATATATGTAGCAATATACTCTATGCTTAAATGCTATGGGCCATAGCATAAGCTAATCTACATAATATGCTAATCATCTAATGAGACTCCATAGCCTATGGGGTCTCATTAGATGATTAGGAAGAATGAAAAATAGTTGAAACTAATTTCAATAGATGGCAATCGACATTACGTATTAACTTTAAAACATATTCAGATATAATACGAATCAACGCCATCTATCTTTATTTAAGCAAACAAAATAGCCTGAATTATTAGTGCTGTCCCAATTTTTTGTAGCGACGCGACGGGGGATAAGGCAGTGGTAGCCCAGCGGTAATGCCCTCGCTTGGGAAGCCTACTGAAATGGGTTTACATCCCTGTTCTCGCACCTCTGATATTTTCCTGTGCGAATCATTTGCAGCATAAATACCACTGTTATATACTCGTCAATACGGTGAAGGAAATTATCGTGATTAAACCTGCGTCTCAAAACCTAGCAAGTTTTCGAAAGACTTCAGGTCTTTCAGCCAACTCACACTAATTGGCCAGCGTGATGGACTGTGGCATGATCCTCGCACTGAAGAGGTGTCAGTGACCAGCAGTGGGACTTTAATAAAAGGGCTGACGGGGGATCTGTACAGTATAATTATTATGTCATGTATGTTTAGTGTGTTACACTTGAAATATTGTATAATGAAAAAAAAAAAGAAAAATACATTATATTTTTTAAGATATGTATTGCATATTAGTCTTACATAAAAATAAAACATTACTCTTATTTTGAATGTAAAAATAAACTTCCCAGTAGAAACTAGGAATAACTATTCTTAGGTCTAAAAGTTCATTACTTCAACAAACAATACCTATTAACGTTATATAGTTTTTGGTAACACGTATATTTTGTATACAGCAGATACTTAATATGTATAGAAAGTTCTATAATCTCACAATACATAGTAATATAAATGCTGGATTTATGTGAATTAGACAGGGCCAACATTTTTTTTATTTAGAACATAATTTCATTAATACACAAAAAATCATTGTTTCTTTTAATTAAGCGTTACTTTATGATATCTGATTTTATTTACTTCATTTCACAAATTTAAAATTTTTCAAATGAATTATTCCAGACTAAATTTTCACATTGCATCATACACACATTTTTTATACTGATATGAAAACCAAAATTTTGCAATATGTGATTGAATATTATTAAAACAATTTTCATTAATAAAATATCAACCATTTTTAATAAATAAAATGGATTATAATTTGAAATAATCTTATTCCAAAAGTAATACTCATGTTATATTTGGTTGTGCTGCTGCACAAAAATGTACTCGGCATCACTGATTTTAGAAAAATAATGTTTATTTAATATTTTTTTTAGTATAATTTAATTATATTCGTCGTTTAATATCAATTCCAAAACACATTGCAAATACGACAAAATAACATTTTTTCTTAAAGGTTTTAATAAACAATTATTAAAATCAATTAACTTTAAAGGCTTAAATAGATTAAATAAGCAAAATCATAATTATGCACATCTAATTATGATGACACCAATATTAAACTCCTACAAACTACAAATTTATTCAAATTATGCTTAAATGAAACTTATTAGAAAATTTATATGAACTCACCCGATTTATGTCTGGGCATTATTTATGTCATATATTGTTAATTATTTTTTTTTACTTCATCTAAAGCTTTTAAATTTTAATACGATAAAACAGGCACTAAAACGGCAAATCACATTTTAAAGTGAACATTATGAATTAAATCACAACCACATACAGAGAACAAAATGTTATTTTTTTTCTTATGAAGTTTTTGTTACTTTGTTGATTGTACGAATTTCTATATTAAAAATTATCCAGTCTATTTCCAAATATGATTTTTCTATGGATATGTCCAACAGGCTTATTTGAGATTCTCATAAATCGATATAAATTTATCACATAATTTCAGGCTAATAACTACAATAACACTAACTAGGTTTTTTTTTACAAATCTTCATATACACATATATTTCGATAATCAAGTAAACACCTACAACTAATATGGTCTCTTCTATAACCTGTAAACATAGTTAAAGTTAAAATTTTCACTTATTGTAGGTCATATGAAATCTCCCCCCCAACGTGCGTTCACCTTGTCGTGGTGGGGGGCTCAGTAGTGCCCGGTAATCCAACCGGGCGCGAAGCTAAGAAACGCACAGGGAGGTTGCCCACTTCGTTGGGCGGTGGGAGGTGGCCCTCTTCGGGGGGCGGTGTACCTTGCGGGTTGCTCCTGGTACTTCTCTGATAGCAGAGTGGACCTTGGAGCAACCCCATGGTTGTGGTGGTCTGCTTCGGCAGACCTGCCGTCGGGGCGTCGTAGTTGAATGCGTAAGCGATCCTGCGATGCCCCATTAAGACGGGGGAACGTTTTGTTGGGTTTTAGTGGGTAGTACTGGCTGTATTACGCCGGTGAGTCCCACACGTCGTGCGTAAATGCATTTCCCAACGTTAAAAAAAAAAAAAGTCATATGAAATCTGAAGAAAAACAATTTGTTAGGGTTTAATAAACCATTTTTGCAAAAAACAAACATACGTAGTTGGCGCCACTAACACATGCAGTCGAGAAGAAAATAATTATCAATTTTTAGTAGTGTAAATACAATTTTATAACTCTAAAGATCATTAAAGTTTGTAAAATCACATCAAATCGTGTCCTCGAGGTCTATTGGCATCAATAATAGTTCCATATTACTCAATTAGTGACATCATTATACAACAACTAAAGCTTGGAATAACAATAATTGTTATATTTATTATTTTAATTTCATAGAATGACACTAAATTATTATTACTAATATGTACGTCAATATTTTTTTATTATGGATGGTTTTATTTTCCAATTGTCAATATTAATAAGTGTTTCTGCAATTTATGTTCACATAGAACTTATTGAAATATTTCTTGAATCAACCAAAAGCGCAAAATCAAGGTTTAACTAAACAAAAATATCATAATATATACTTATATCAACATGACCATAGTTTATGACTCAAATGTTTCCACTATAGCAACATCAGTAACAATATCAAATAAATACTGTAAGTTTATAATTAATTCTGCCATTCCAAATATACTTAATATATAGATATTTTACAAAAGTTGATATAGTAGGATTTTTAAAGCACTTCCTTTTCTGAATCACTAGCAAGATATGCATAAACTTACTAAAATACTTATTTGATATATATATATATATTTATATATATATATATATATATATATATATATATATATAAATATCAAATATGTATTATCCTTTGATAACAAATTACTCAACTTTAAAATATAATGGAGCTCATAGACTGATAATATCAGTAATATAAATATATGTAATTAAAATATAAAATAATTTTATGGTGTATATGGGGGTGGGGGTGGCAGAATGGAGAGATCATCAAATGGAAAATACTGTTGTGCGCCTAGCACTGGTGGAGCAAATGTTGGATGTGCAGTTGGTACATAGTTAGGGCTTGGTGTATACGGTGGTAATGTTGGCACTGCTGGTGTTGGACCAACACTATGTGCTTCATAACCATCCCAGTCCTCCATAAGATTTCTTCTTTGTAAATCCTCATCATTAGATAATGGTGCCCCCCATAAGTTGGCTGCTGATGCTAGAAGAGCTAATGCACCTGTAAATTGTGTATAAATATAAAATTTGTCCTTTAAGAAAGAGAATTTAGAAAGAGTCTTATATTGAAATCCTAAATTAATGCATCAAGTTGTCTCCTATATTAAAATAACTTTTAAATGTATGTTAGGAAAATATAGTTCATATAAAATGCCACAAACCTGCTCCTGTTATTGTATAAAATCCATATTCATAGTCAACTTGAATTGTATTGGGATCACTGTTGTTGACATTGCCTAACACAACAGTTGTGTAATAGCACACACCAACAATTGCGATCACCCAAAACACACACATAATGCTCGGAACTGCATTCCTTCTAAGCATTTTAATGGCTTTGCTGTTTAAACTAGTAAGATTAATTAAAACTCCTATACATGAACATAGTAGCACCATGAAACATAGTAATATTAATATTCTCATGAGTGTTATAATCTCTGGTGTTGTACAAGGCGGAAGACCTGAAGAAGAAAATATTTGGGATATTAAATTTAAATTGCATTAATCTTGTTTGTCAAACTTCTCTAATGAAAAAATTTACTTTGTCATAGTTAATCTATATATCTAAATTTATTTTAATTATATGAAACATAAAATAAGCACATAGAAATTAACTCTCAATTTTAAATGATTTCATATTGCTGTACATTTGATGGAATTTAGGGTCATTTAGTTTCCTCAGTGTACTTGAAGGGAAATATTGTAATGTTGTGAACATATGTGTACACACACATGCTTATTAAAAACCATTAACAAAAAATTGAGTTTTTACATACACAAGTATTCACTGAATAATAATTAATATATTTACCGTTAAAATCAGATCTGTTAATAGGATCATATTCCCTATCTTGGTGTATGGCTATTTGGTCATTGTCATCATCATCTTCATCAAATGAAAAGAATTGTGTCAGTGAAAGACTTTGAGTACAATGCAATCCTTTAATCCTAAACCAACTCGGCTGGACAAGTGCTGCACAGGTCAGTAAAAATGTAGAGATATTAAAAAATGCTGCTATTTTATTTAACTCTTTGTCTTTAAATGGCAATGTAATTTTCAAACCTGAAAAAGAAACATCGGTTTGCATTTTCTCATTCACAATCATTTATTATAAAGTAAAAGAACAGTGATTAAGTAATTGAAGAGTGTTGTGCTGGTATCTAATATGTCAAAGAAATCATTTTGTCTTTTTGTTCAAGTAGTAAAAAGTTCATTTAACAGTATGCCAATAACAACTAATAAGGGCTACTAAAAAGTACACCTTATACATAGAAGAGCCTCTTACAAATAAAGATGTCCAGTATGGTCTATTTCTGATTGTTTACTCAAAGGTTATAAAGCTTTATGTATTTGCTGTAATAACTATGACTATGACATTAAATCCGTGGAAAAATGTTGTTACCTTGACACATTATTTTTGCCATCACAATATTAATATAACTGAAATAATAAGTGCCATATAAACTAATGTTATCCTAGTACTATTAATTATCATATTATTTTTCTTTGGTAATTTACTTTTTATTAGTAAATATCACGATATCAGAATTTACTGTATTGTATGTTAAACTTAACAATATAACTGGAATTTTATTTTATAACAACATCTATAATAGATAGATAAAAGACATTGCTACATAAGTGTTAAAATATTGTGTTTTACTAAAACCAAAAAAGAATGTTACAAATAGTACATTATGTTTTTTATTTTAATGTATTATTTGTGATAAATAGATAAATTATATTATAGGCCTTAAATAGAATATCTATATTATTTTTTAAATAATGTTATTTATAGAACTCACACTGAATTATATTTTCTTGTTGTTAATAGCTCTCATTACGTAATTAAATAATGTAAAAAATCATCTAACACATCAATTAATACCAGGCAATTTTCCCACATCATGTTATTTAGAATAACAATCAATGATGATGTAAGTTAAAAATAGACAATACTTAGAGGGGACCACCACCAGGGAGTATAATAACGAGAAGTTTTTGGTATTTCAATAAGACATTGAAACATATCGTTTTTAAAAGATGAGTATTATTCCAAACCAATAAATATTTTTTACATTCGGATAGATACTGTTATTGGCAAAATTTAAGGAATATGATTGTGTGATGATCATACATGTACTTAATACATGTACTCTTTCAATGATAGTATTTTGCAAACATTACAAACATGTCCAATATTATGTTTAAATATTAACATACAAGAAAATAAATATAATAGTATATGTGTACATACCTCGAATCCAACTTAGGCAGCTCATCGTGATACAAACACCATTGAAAAAACCACGACAAATTTAAAATTTGTTTTAAATTCACAAGCACGAGAAAGAAAAACAAATAATGCAAATTATTGTTTTGCGAAGTAATTATCTGTAAACTGCCCACTTCTTGTCATTGTCGTCACTCGTCAATCGTCATTTTGCATTTGACAGGAAACATGCAAATAAAAATTGTTATTATCACATGATTGGTTAATTTATAACAAGTCCGAAGATATCAGGCTTCTCTTTCTGCCTTATATATTTCTTAATAGACACTAGCGCCACTTGTTGCTATTGTTGTCTACTTTTTCGTACTCCGTCTTACGCAATTGCTACTTATTTATGTAGTTTAATTTTTTTAAGCTATAAGAAAGAATGAAAATATTTTTGCTCATAAAAGACTTATTTTATTTTCTATTATAACATTCAATAATAATAATAAAGTGCTGATACTGAGTATCTCAGTATTTAATAACTTATTTGTTGACAACCTACAAAACTCAAGAGACACAATGAGGACTAGAGGCGCTAGTGTAGAGTGAGGTCTCTAGAAATGTTAAATAAATGATACTGAATGCTTCCTGTTTGCGAGCCATGAACGAATTCTTCATCGTGAAATATTATACAGGTTGGAACAAATTTTAGGGGCATGGAAGAAAAGTACCTTAAATATTGATGTTATCAAGATGTACCTAAAAGGAAACATTTCTTTATTTTAAAAAATAAAAATAACTACATTCAATTTTTATTTTTAAAGGATTACCTGAACCGGGACTCAAACCAAATAAAAATACAAAAAAGGGCACAATCACTATTTTATCGAATTAATCGAATCTATGGAAAGGATAAAATCTTTCGAACGAACATTGCGTCTTAGACCTTAGTAGTTTTAGCGCGAGCGAAGCCGCGGCCGGGTTCTGTGAGTATTACCACGGTAATGTTATGTAATATTTTATTATTACCTACATATATTTATTTACTCCAACTGTAACTTTATTCCGTTTCTTTGTCAAATTGTTGGGCCATTTATTTTAGTTTGCTTTTTATGCACTCGGGTCTTTTTATTTTTATAAATTAATTTTTCATTGTGTGAAAGCTTAAATGACGTGGCTGACATGACTAGAATATGATTTTTGTAGTTAAATGACGATTTTTCGACATTTACGCAAACATTTCGTGTTTTTAATTTGATACTTACGAGTATGGAGTATACTATTTTTTATTATTGTTTTCTTATTCTGGGTAAAGGTATTCTTTCCTCTTTTGGATTTAGACCCAAACCGTCTCATATTTTTGAAGTTCGGGTGAATACAGATCCAATTAGAATATGGTAGACAAGGAGGCCAACGTACTTATGTCGTTGGCCTTCTTATCACGTTGGATATTTTCTTAGATAAGTACCTACTTATTTGTTTAAATAAATAATAGTAAAATCTAAAAATCATTCAGCAGTTCTTTAAAATAAATACTTTTTAAAAATTAATCTAAAACACATAATATGTGCTTATAATATTACTATAAAATCTAATAGGAATTTTCTCTGTGAGAAAGTCGAAGCGGAAAGGATAAATCCATATTAATATCATAAATTTGAAAGTGTGTTTGTTTATTTGTCCTTTTTTTCACGTCGAAACAGAATGACGGATTGGCGTGATTTTTTGTGTGGAGATAGTTGGAGGCATTACCGTGTTGGAGGGCTTGAGAGTGACATACCTAGGCTACTTTTTACCGCGGAGATTATCTCATTCCGACGGGAAAACACGTTATAATAAAACTCAAAAAAATATTTATGATCTAAGTTATTTGAAACTTGGTATAAATGCTCTTCAATACAATTAAAAAAATACGTTTTTTAGCATTTTCCAAATTCATCCGATAAAGGGAATAAAATAGGAAATAAAAATTTGTATGCAACCTACATTTTTAGAGATTTTTTTTTGTAGTTTTAGCGCGAGCGAAGCTTCTTCTAGTAATAGATAATTTTATCTTTATTCCATTTTTTTATACTTCATTCAATCATTCATTCATTCATTCATGTCATTACTGATAATTTAAAAATCGAACTAACGCGTATTATTGTATAGGACTGTCACCGAGCTTTAATTTAACTTTCACTATATGTAGGTGGTCGAAGCGAAGCGAATGAAATGACGCGACGCCTACTATATCCCTGCCGGGTCTGTATCCGAGTTTGAGTTTGATAAAATTTGACACAATTTATTTTCTATCCTTTCAAATTAGAATCGTCTACAACCCTTTCAGGTAACTTCATTATGTATAATATATATGCATTGATTGGTAAAATTTTGTCGCCATCAGAGCCTTATATCACGGTAATGTTACATATAACATTTCCGTGCCTATATCGAACTCATAAATATTTATGTATTACTAAAAACCCCTTACAGACATGTATTTTCTCATTACCTCATCACACATCATACATCTTTTTTAATGCCTATAATATAGAGTATATGTACACAGAAAATAAAAATAAACGATGGCATGATACGATGTGATACGATTTTTACACATTTGTAGTCTGTATCGTTCGTTTTGAGCTCGCGTAGGTCTCTTTTATTAATAGTATATTGTGTATTGTAGGTATATTAATGGCCCACGTGAAATTAAATATAGGTGAATTATCCTTAATCACTGTAGAACCAACATTTAAATAATTATCTGACATTTTTGACTTTATCGGTGCGACGTGGATTATACCCGGCGTAAAGGCTTTATGGAATTGGAGGTAGGGCGCTAATTTTTAATAAAATTTATTTGTTTCTTCGTTCCACCTTGTATAACAAAATCCAAGCTAAGTGCCACAATATTGACACAATATTATATTACTCCTCGAATAAAACATGTTAAGGTCAAGCCAAAGGATTTTTTATTTTCTTATAATTATTGTTTTTTTTTTTACCTACCTATAGGTACCTACTTATAATCTAAATTTACACATATTGTCATGAACATGTCCGTGTGAAATTGTGTCCTCGTCCTCACTGCACTCCTATCCTTATCCTTAATGAATCGCAATATCGAGTTTGAGAGCAAAAAATCTTATTTTGAAACGCTTCATTGATTTTATTGTTTTATAACTCTTATAAAAATTCCTAAACATACACAATTATTGATAGTGTGATAACAATACATAAACTATCGTATGCACCACATTGTTCGAATAAGACAAGTGATTCAATTTAGTGAGGAAAAACTCCAGTGTAAACATTTTATAGCTCAAATTCAGTAAATATCTTGTTATTTACAACTCTGGCGAATTTATTTATTACCAGTTCAATCTGATAAAATGGCGTGGAAAAATAAGACATACTGTCTACCTGTATCTTAAAAGGATTGCTGAATAGTAGGTACCTATTATTTTTCTTTAAAGTAAAAATATTAAATTTTAATGATATGATAAAATTGACCTTAGTAAGTCAAAGCACATTTTTTTACTTTTATTATTTTATCTTCCTTACCAAATTTCTTATTACATTAATTTTGTATTTATTGAATAAAAATAATTTTACTAATGCCTGTCAACAACGCGGCGTCACCTTTTCTTTCAGCATTCATGGACAGTGTTATCAAGTTCAGAATTAAAGTGTTGTTCAAGTAGGTATTAGATATACCTAATATAACTATTATTGGAGTCCATAGGGAACATACATACGCGCATTGATATTTATATAAATAATATAATATATTGATTTATATATTTTAGAGGTACAAAGATGATTGTACAATTTCTGAACAAATACAACAATATCTACAGAAGTGTACTGTAAGGCTTTACCAATGATGATGGTTAAGCTCGCTCTCAAATAACCGACAATTGCCGATTGTTCTAGGCTGCTTCTTCAATACGTTTAAATTAAGAACTCTCCATCCACCATCCAGTCCACCTTACCCCTTTTTTTTAACGTTGGGAAATGCATTTAGGCGTACCGCCTGCATACATACAGGTGGTTATGTGGGAGAGCTGCAGTTTACTATATGGGACGCGGCCCCTGGAGGAGTGGGTGATATTTTTGGATAGGGGAGGCGATTATATATTTGAACTCCCTATCACCATTAAACTCATTATCATCATCACTTAATCATTCACATCACTCAACAAGTATATTGACAATGCAATGATTACATCGTTATAGTTTGATTTACTACGTTCGACTTTAAAAATTAACGAGATATCATCTGCAAAATGCGTATCATGATTTCTTCACACAGGAAGGAAAATTATAAAAAATTGCGGTACTTTCTGTTTCATGTAAACGAATATATTGTGTTTGTGAGTCTCTAGAAGCTGGGGGGCCTAGGCCCTTACTCCGTGTGTCCTTATGGTAAAGACAAAACTGCTGAGATACGTGTATCCCGTATACTTTAATATATAGGTATATATCACGAATGTATAACAGATATCTATCTATAATCTATAAATTTGTGTCTCTGTCTATTGTAACTTTTCAAAAAGTATTGTAAGATTGATGTGTAAACAAAGTCCACATTTTATGGTAGGAAAAGGAAGTTTTATTAGAATAGTTTAAAAGAAAAATTTTGAATTTTTAAAATTTTGACCATAAATAAATATTTTCTCTTCAGTTAGGTATCTAAGTTGTCATATTATGATAATGATAACTTAGACAACAGAAAAGCAATCAAGGAGGATGCCTAGTGTTTTTCTGTTGTTAGTAAGCTGTTATCTAAAGTTTAGGTGAAGTTTCCAACGTAAATTAGGAAAAGTGTTGGCAGTTGATAAATACTTTAAAAGAAATACAAAGTATCTACCAACTGAAGATTTGTTATCTCTTTTCTCTATAGTATCGCAATTGCTAATGCAGTTTAAGACTAACTGTAACGCGATGTTGCTTTTATTACTCGAGTTTTAAATAATTGTACCTACATAATAGTAGTTAGTGTACAAATTCTGTATAGGTGAATTAACTGGTTTCTTTCCAAAATCATCCGAAAATCATGATTTAATGAAAACTTTT